TATTTATTTATAACTTTTCATTTATAATCTGTAAAACATAACCGCAATTGGATTTCTACAGGGAGAAACAGAAATCTCATTGCTGAAACAGGAAAGACTCCGCCTGCAATCTCAGGTATTGTGTTCTCATCTTTCCATTTGGTTTCAGAGTTTTTGCACAGAGCAGTTGCCTACTTGATATTTTGAAAATATAAATGTCGAGTGATTATAACAATGGTATTTTTAGCTTGAGAATGCTCTTAAGGCAGCAGAGACAGCAGAAGCATCATATCGTGCTGAACGGGAAAGTTCTAAGGCCTTATTGTATAGAGAAGAGGAGTTTAAAGGCCTACAGCTTCAGGTTTGTCGATATATTTCCCTTGTATTCTTATTTCCCTTGCACTGGATGCTGTCTATGTAGGTAGGTGCAATTGTTATCATCATGGCTCTGGTCTAGAGTTACTGTTGTGGAAATTAATTCTTAAAATGAACACCTTTGGATGGCTTTCCTGTTTTGTTATTTTTTATTTTCCATTTGTAATGTTGTATTTTGGTATATTTTCTTTCAATAGTATACCTATATATTACTATCACATGCCTTGTTAGTTTTTACAATTTGGTGTTTCTAGGTTAGAGAGTTGAACTTGCTTCGAGAGAGCAATTTGCAGCTTAGAGAGGAGAACAGACATAATTTTGAAGAGTGCCAGGTTTGAATTTTCTGAACTCTATGAGATATGAAGATAAATGGCCGTCTTCAACTCAAAACGCTTTTTTATTTGCCTTAGAAACTCCGTGAAACTGCCCAGAAAGCAAGGTCTGAAGCAGATAATCTTGAGAAGTTCCTCAAGGACAGAGAACATGAGGTGGAAGCTTTCAGGAAGGAGGCTGATATTCAAAGAATGGAGAAACAGCATCTTGAGAAAAGGATCGATGAGGTATCCAATTCTTCCCTTCCCTTCCTCTTTTCCCTCATCTTCCCTTCCTTCCTTAGTACAGGACTTTCTCACTTTGAATGTTTCGGCAGTTGGTTGAGAAGTGCAAGAGCTTTGACGTGGAAGATTATGAGCGTGTTAGAGAAGCTGTTCGGCAGATGCAGGTAATACATGCATTGCAGTAGTCTATTTGGTTTTAAATTCACCTCTCTATGTAGCTTATGTATTCTTTAAGGTATACATTTCTGAGGTCACCTGGGTTGGGGCTGTGGCATGCTGTAAGATTTGCCCTTGACTGAAACATTTGAAGGATAGTGATGTTAGTTGTGTAGCCTGGAGCTTTTACTTGATGCGCAATTTCAATATGATAACACAATAAAATTCTAAATGTGAACTGAATGAAGCATAACATTATTGAAAATGTCGGCCATTATACTAAAAAATGCTGCCCTGCCCCTGGCAAGGATATATATATATATATATATATATATATATATATATATTTGATAATCACATATTATTATATTTAATTTGCCCATTATTGCATATCTGGTCTGGCTTTGATGTTTCTTGCATCGTTTTAATATTTACTATCTGGTTTCCTCTAGGAAACTCTGAAGGAAAAGGATGATCAGTTGGAGGAAATTAGGAAACATGTCTCTGAGAGGCAAGAGTTGATATCAAAACTAGAGCAAGACCTTTCAAGGAACAGAGTGGAATTGAGTCAGAGGGAGTCTAGAATAAATGAGCTTTTGCAAGCTGAGGTATTTGATTATTTTAAGTGTGAAGCACTATCTATCATTATATGTCATACTTTTCTTATCCTTTATTATGCTTTGTGATTTTTATATGTAGGCCTCTTTAAGATCTGAACTCGATAAAATGAAGAGGTCAACAAATCTACATAAGGTCTGTGGGTAGTAAAAGAACTAGACCCTACACAGTGATGATTTGATATTCTCTTCATGTGGTGAAGTCATCTTTTTTGTTAGTCCTATTTCTGATTCTTCCATGACCACTCTATATGCAGAAGAAGTTTGAGAATCTTGTGAAGGAAAAAGATGAACTGAACAAAGAGAATCAAGTTCTGTTGAAGAATTTGGAAGAAGCTCGGCAAGGTATGAGTTGTTTTATCTGGAGAGTTATTGGACTTCACATATGTTTATACTTATTTTGAAGCTTCTGAACAGGGAGAAGAAATGTTGGTGATGCTATTACTGAACAGGCTTTAAAAGAGAAGGAGAAGGAGAAAGATACCAGAATACAGGTATGCTTGGTGGTAACTCTCTTTTTATTCTACTATTTGTTTTTGTTCTTACTGCTAATATTCACTGGTAAAATTGTTTTCAAGATGTTGGAGAAAACATTAGAAAGGCACAGGGAGGAGTTGAAGAGAGAAAAAGAAGAACATAGGACAGAAAAAGCAAGGCGTTTAAAGACTCAAAGGGCATGTACGGAGTCCATTGAGACTGTCAAACAGGTAGACCTTAGAAGTCAAATTTCTATAAAATTTTGTCTCCTTTGTTTCTACGCATTGCATATCCTCTTTTTTTTTTTTTAAATATATATAATTTCATGTTTGATGGAGAAAGCTGTTACAATGGGCTTCAATCTGATGCCACTCTAAAGTCATCTGTATATGTTAAAGCAATTATTGTTTAGTCAGAAACATTTCTCTCCATGTGTCAAAGTACTGAAGTTGCATGCGTGCCACTTGTGTCAAAATTTTAACATTTGTATCAAATTTCCCTATCAACATTACAGCAACAATCAAAGCTAACAGATGAACTTGAGAAGCATAAGCAGGCTCTTAAAATGTTCACAGATGAGGGTGAGAAGTCAAGGCAACCCAAAGGTGGTCAGTCTGAGGTATAATGCTATTCTCTTCTCCAATTTAATGAGTGATTTCCTGTTTACTTGATGTAAGATAGTAGTGCTGTTTACTTGATTTCCAGTTGTTCGGGAGTTAAGTCAATGCCTGAATTTTCTTTTGTTAGGGTACATCAGTGGATCAGCTTCTTGCTGGCACCCGATTAGCAGACTTCACTGCTGCTTATCTCCAGGCTGTTAATAATTTTGAACAAGTTGTTCAACCTATTTGCATTGAGGCTGGAGTTTCCACTGCTGCAGACATTTCTTCTGGTCCAGAGATTTCATTATCAAGTGGTACTATATGCCTGCATTTTTGCTTGTTTATCTTTCATTAGTACTGCCTCTGATTTATCTACTTTATTCAGTTGCCAATCATTGAGAAATATCATGATTTATATTCTAGGTCCTGCAGTATCTTTAGTGCTACCAACCAGTTTGTCGACTATCTCCAGTTTGACAAAAACAGAAGATGAAAGAGAGAAGAGATTAGTGTCGTCAAAGATGAGCTCTGAAACCCGTAAAACAGGGAGGAAGCTGGTCCGACCTCGTATCCTGAAGCCTGAAGAGCCTCATGATGATATAGAGATGCAAGAAGTGGATGCAACTGCCAGCAGTGGAAAGCCCTTGGCTTCTCATGCTGTGGAAACTCAAGAGAATCCCATGCCAACATCTCAGCCATCTGTTCGTAAGCGTCCATCTGCTACGTCTACTTCAGAGTTACAAGAAGAAACTCCGACTTCAGAAGAAGCAAGCACTCATGTGCAGCCAGTGCTGAAAAAGCCCAAGGGTCCAGAAACCTCACAGGAGGGTGGTGAAGTAAAATCTGTGGTTAATTTTGTTCCTGAGTCTGTTCTTGCTACTGAAGAATATGATGTTGGAGATCTGACCCAGGGTTTTAAGGAGGAAGATGATGAAAAGGATGAAGCAGGGTCTGGAGGGGAACAGGGTGAAGATGTTTCAGTAGATACAATAAATCAGGCCAACTTGCAGAATGACAGAAGTGATGTGGTAGATGACATTTTGGATAGGTCTGGTGAAACAGCTATACAGGATGATCAATTGAACTTTCAGGTGCAACAAGATATTCATCAGACAGCAATAGAATCTGGAAGTGAAAAGGAAGAGGGAGAGCTGGTTGCAGATATTACTGATATTGAAGGTGGTAGTAACCTGTCAATGGGAAGTCCAGATGTTGAAGGCCAGTCTGAACAAACAGTAACGCCTGAGAATTTGACTGGTGTAGATGAAGATCCCTTTATTAGTTTGGCCTCTGAAACTGGTGAGGTTGATTCTTCTCGTGTTCTTGACGATGAGAAGACTGATGGAGGAGAAGAATTAGTTGAAGTTCAAGACAAAATGAATGATGGTAGTGATCGGGTCATGGCAGAAACTGATCAGGTCCCAGAAAGTGCGCTGACTACTAGCGAGAAACCATCTACCAGCAACAATCCTGTTGTGGACTTGAAGGAAGAGAATCCGGGTATTGCAACAGACACAGAGGAAGCAACGCAATCAACTGTTACTAGCAGAAGCTCAACTACAATTAATTTGATGGAGAGGGCAAGGGAAAGGGCAAGGGAGAGACAAGGACAGCATACTACTCTTGCACACCCCTCTGCTCCGACCAGGGCCCGTGGTAGACTACATCGAGGTCGTCAAGTACGTGGTGGGCGTAGTGGGCGTGGGCAAACACCTGGTTAAATGTTGCAAATCATGGGATGTTTCAGTGCGTAACAGGCACACTGACTTGAAATGGTGAATAAGTGTGGCGGATGAGGTCCTTTATTGGGAAGGACCGGAACAATTTGGTTTTGATTTACTTCGAGTCTGTAGCCTTAGTATTAAATATTTACCTTTCAGAATTTAACTATATTCTAGTTAGCTCTATTTCTTTCAGTTTTCACTCTACTTCAGGTTAGCCCTAATTCCTTTGGAGTCGGTAAATCCTGTTATCACAATCTATACCAGATCTTAAGTAATCCATAAGTAGATTGCATTAGTTTAACATTTGTTTACGATTGGGTAGATTATGATATAAGATGTAAAGGCATCCTAGTTAATACCTCAAATACTTGCGAGTATTTACTCATTGATTTTTTTGTATAATTTTATTGCAAAACATGCTATTTGGTCACCTTTAAGTTTCATTTTAGATTATTCTACTAAATAATCAAGCTATATTGACAACCACACAACACTGATGGGTTTATAGAATCGTTTGTCATGACTTCCAAAGAGCGGCTAATAGGACTGAAAATATTAATAACTATTTGCACAATTCCATGGAAAATGAGAATAAATGCCGTTAATTGTCCAAATCTTCAAAAGGACAATATTTTCTATCACAATAAGCTTGTATAGTTGATGGCATGTATATGATTTACAAAAGGAAAGTCAAAAATGGGCCCCAAAAAATAGGATATCAATAATCATGAATCAGCAACCCCAACGCCATTCGCTGGATTCCAAGCTAATTAGATATCAGCAGACAACAGTTCAGCTATTTAAGCAACTGCAAACCAATTCTTCCTAATACGGCAGTGTGTAGCACACGATTTGGTGTTCCACCTCAATCATCAATGTCGTGTACCCATGCCAAATCTGTCAATAAAATGTTCAGTGATCCTATTTATATAACCAACATACTTAACAGCCAAACCTACAAATAATCCAATCTCCGTATTTTAGTCAACTACTATAAGAAAAAATCATTAAAAAAAAAAATACTTGTTTGCTAAGGTACAAATATGATAGAAAAAAAAAAACATCAAACCTTGGAGTACAGATTCAACAGCAGCATTTGGAATTAGTAAACCAACAATCCGTTGATTGTCTGTTGTGGTCTCAATCCGAACAACACGAATACGTCTATGGCTTTGGCGAGCCTGAATTCAGATGTTTAAATTAATTCATGATGGTGCTGGGAATACATCAAGGGTTAAGCACTCAATTCAGATCACAGAAAACAGAGCTGCTGGGATACTCTTCCAGCAAAAAAAGGAGTTTGAACCTTTTGCTATATCAGTAGATCGTGAAAAGCTTCAAAATTTTGTACTGAATGATACCAAATTATGTAGCATCAGGGGCATAGATTTGCCCAAATTCTATTAGGAGAGCCATCACCGGCTGTAAAACAAAGCCCGAACTGGCAACTGCCACAAGCACAGGCTGTTTTCTGTGACAGGGACTACTACTTTGGCAGATAATATAGCACAATGACTGCTTTTTAATATCACATTCTGTGTATTATAGCTTTGAAATAATTATATATAGCATGCCCTTTAGAAGGATAAAATTATTTCAAGTAGAGAAAAAACCATAAAACCTGCTTGGAAAGAGCCTTCTCAATTGTTCCCCACACTGGAAGTACAAGGCCACCCAAGACATTCACTTCCTGTAATCGTCTGCCAACCGTACAGAAATTGCCCAACTTACAATTCGGGCCATGCATGCACTGTAAATGAAGCAAGCGCATAAAAATAGGCTATACAACACGATTTAGCAGAAAATATGTACATAAATAAATAAATAAATAAATAATTAATTAATTGAAATGCGCACAATCCCAGATGAGTGCAGATTCAGAAACTTAGACTGCTTGACCAAATTCCAAGAAACTTAGCTAATGTGCATACTATCATTATTAAGTATACATATTCTTATAAAACCAAGTGTGCATATACATTTAATAAGCAAGTTCTTTTGTATAGCTAAACTAGCTTAAGCTTTCAAAGTTTTAAGACTTAATAACTATCAAACTTGTCTGCACATCCCATAAGCTAGGCGTGCATATCTCACCAACTTAACATGCATATTCCATTTGTCCAAAATTTAATCCATTATTTGTTAATAAATTCATTTTTATCTTCTTTTTCCAATTGCATCTCACCATCTAAATTAAATCAAACTTTATGTACCCTTCAAGAATCAGTTATTATGAAAATACACCAGTTAGGTGGACTATAGATTAACGATTGGGATAACCAGCAATTACTGAGTTCAATTACTATCAACCTTATTGTTTTTAGCAACACAGAAATAGAAAGACAAGGTCCTCCCGGCATACATAATAGGAATCCATAAATTAAGCTTCTTGTATCATTGACTACCCTCTGACCAGCTCTCAATCCATTCTTCAACCATAGAGTTCATTTCAACAAGTTGAAAATTTACCCCTTTTTTACAACAAATGTTGGCCTGTCTAACACACATATTTGTCACCTATAACACAGATATAAATACCATAAAATAACAACTATATACACCTAAGTAAGATTAGTAAGTATTTCAAGTCACATAGCTCAATAAATCAATTACATGCACATAGATTAAAAATAATTCTGTATAATTACCTAATTCTGGATGTTTAGTGACTACTAAAATCTTCAGTCAATAAGAAAAGCCCCTCCAATATTGAAAAGAAGAAATCTAAAATGAAAGTTTTAATCAATGCATACTTTAGACAAATATAATATTGAAGAATGTCACCTGCTTCGATGAAACTTCATATTCATCATCCCAGCCACTACGAGCCTTTTCTAATTTAGATATTTTCCTGTATTTTTCTTGCAACTCAGAAAGAGGCATCTCCCTAGAGAGTGAGAAGCGATAAGGAAAATATCATCAGCAAAACAGGAGGGAGGTGGTGATCCACACACAAAAAGGTAATTGCTACAAGATATTACAAATCACAAAGAAGCTCTCCTGAAGCCAAATAAGTAAAAGTTAGATTACCGAAGGGATTCTCCCAGAGTAGGACGGAATAGCTTGTACATTCCAGAAAATGAACTGAAATAAATAAGTAAATGAACAGAAGAATAAAAATTTGCTTTTATACATCACACAAGCAGAATTGAAATTTAATCATACTAAGAAGCACAAAACAAGTGTTGGAAACTCATAAAAGTGAAAGTAGAATAATCAACATAAACTTACATCATTGTTTAATCATTTTAGAATTTATGTTTTACTTTCAGACTAGATACAGATTTTGATGAATAAATAAATAATAATCTTGTGGATACTAAAAGAATATTGAATAGAATGAATGCAGAGCTTTACTCACGCCAAAGTAACTCTAAATTGTGCATAAGCCCCATCACTTTTAAACAACATACAAGTGGAGAAGTTAGCCACACTCTTTTACTAAGAGAGTTGACAAACTGCTAAATCAAGAACTTCAAAATAGTGTTTAAAGAAATACCAAATGCATTTAAAATAATAATAATAATAAATCAGTAAACCCCACAGAAGGAACTAGTGAGACCCTCGGGGCAACAGTTCCCCTTCATTATCCCAAATGCAGAAGCACACATGAACAGTGCCACTCACTACCCCTACCGCTACCAGCCCTACCACTGCCCACCTCAGACCCATCCAGCGTCGCTATGGCTACCCACCATTCATATTTTCATGTGAAGAAACGAATCCAAACTTATCACATTTTGAGTTTTCAGTATCACAAGTTTACAAAATAGGAACATGTAATCTAATTTCCAATGGAAAACAAAACCGGAAAGAGTTTTCAAAACAGTGAATGGAAGACGGCCTTTAAATTTGTAACCCCCATGATTTCTGATTACATGCATTTTATTTTTCTTCCTTCACAAGCTGCTGATGTAAGATCATCATTCAAGTAGAAAACGGAAGCCAGAATTTCCTGTCAATCACTCATAGTATGATTTCCAACTGATATTGCACAAGTTTGAATATAGAGATCACATTGAAATTGATGAAAGAAGATTGGTAAATTCCTTCAACAAGCACAGTGCTTTAAGGGTTTAAGCAGTTCTAAGCCAGTTTACTAGATTTCCTTCCCCACATACTTTTGTTATTCCTCTACCATGTTACTTGTAATCCATTTTCTTCTCTTACACCCTGGTGACCTTCATTCTGTTGCAAATACCACTAGCAGAATAAAGTAGGTAACCCAGATCAGTGGACCAGTGGTCACACCCCCTTTTGTGCATCAACTATCAAATTCCACTCAGATATTTATTTATTAATTTCAAAGCAACATTTGGACAGCTTCAGTTCATCACCAAAAAGATAACTGATAAATAACCACATCTTTGAATTGTAAAGCATAATCATTAGACAGACTTCATCTCTCTATCCTCTTCACTTACACCTTGCACTTCAGATGAGCCTAACAAGGCTCAAGTTGTGTAGCTTCCCACTTTGGAACAAGACTACGGAAAGGTATAAGATTGTATAACACCATAAAAACATAACCAACTTCCTTATAAACCTTGATTTCACTATGAAGTGATGCTAATATACTACAAGTCTACAACAGCAATCTCAGTCACACTTGTATACATAAATCAAATAATATCAAAAAAAATAACGCCAAAAATGAAGAGAAGAGGATAAAAAAAAAATAAAGTAATAACTTTAATACCCCTCTAGTGCCAACAAAAAGTGTCGCCTTCCCAACCATTCTCTCTTAGATTCATAGAATCCAATAAAAGTTGAACCCGACTCATCTTTCTGCTTTTCTTCAAGCAATGCAGAAGCAGACTGCACAGAAACAAGATAAAACAAGTAGTAAAGCTTGGAAAAAGGGGGAAAAAAATTAGAACAACATGACAGTTTTAATGGAAGATACCTCCCAACTGAATCCACGGTCCAGTGTAAAAGTAAACAATATGGTCGATGCCCCAGACAAACTGTCAACATGAACAGTCTGAAATATACTGATTTAGATGTCTTTTTTTTAACGAATAAGAATGCACATTCAAATGTGTTTTGGAAAAATGCATTAATACATGAAACTAGTAAGAGTAATAGCATAACACCATAACCTTAGGATTTCCTCGTAGTTCAACAGTGTTGGCTTTCATATCAACAATCCCAGAGTCTAAATTTCCTTCCATCCGGGCATTCTGAACAATAAGATCTAGAATGCTGACAAATAACTCAAAGAGCCTATTCTGTATTTCAGGTGGCAGCCCTAACAGCCGATTAAGAAAACGTCCAACATCATGCATGTCTGAATCAACTATACGTCCAGAAATCTTTCCAGAGTCCTTCCCACTACCTTCATAACGGTTTTAAACAAAAATTTAAAAAGAAAAATGTAAAGAATTCATCAGCAATATTTAAATGGCCCTTGTTATCTGAATCCTAACTCCCCCACCCCTTCCAACAAATAAGTTGAGTGTGTTAAGATATAATGGAAATTGGAAAGGGGTAAGTAGAGATAACCACATATGTGAATATAATGCTTATGGATAAAGTGCACAAGTATATACAGAAACACTTTGCACATTAGAAATTGGAAAGGGGTAAGTAGTGATAACCATATATGCATATTTAATGTGGATGCATAAAGTGCACAAGTAAATATGGAAATGCTTGGCATATTAACTCAAACAATAAAAATGAAACAAATTAAATATTAACTAGTCTTTTAACTGTTAAAAGAACATAATTCTGTAAAAGGAAATTGATGCACAACGCCGAATCACAAAATTATGTACTACCAAGCACTGAGTCTCTTATTATTCCAACAGAAACAAGAGCAGCTTTCCCCTTTACAATGAAATCCTGTGTTTCCTCTTGTTTATCAGCTGAACATCCTGGTGGAACAACAGGCAAAGACTCCTGTCCAGAAAAGAAAGAAAAAAGCACATTATTTAGACTACCAAATGTTTACTTACATCCATTAAAAACAGCACTGTAACGACAATATCATGTAACATACTAGCTCCATGATTCCTCTGTATAGCATCATCAGGGCTCTTTTTCCGAAGGCACTATCATAATTATAAGCACTTAAGGATGGTCCAGCCCTGCAACATACTCAAGTAGAAAAAGTCAATAAAATATATACAACTGAATAAATGACAACTTTAAAATCATAATACATTGAACCCACCTACGGTCTCCTTGTGTAAGTGCCCCAAGTGACTCCAAACGCTTAGCAACAATTGATGCAAACCGCCGTTCACCACCAAGATTTGTAAAAAGCAGTCTGTAAAACATACAAAAGAATGATGTATTTTTAAATTGTAAGATTTAGAGAATCCGTGGTCATAACCTGCTCATGCAGCAAGAAAATTAAGTGATTGGTTGGCCTAAGTTACAGCTTTTTCAACCATCATCTAATTGGTTTTGAGTCACATTGTTCACTTACATGGCAGCACACTTGGATGCCCAATTAGCAAACTTAGTGCTTGTTTAGTTAAAATTTGAAAAAGCAGTCCGCCAAGAGATAAGAAGTCTTAAATGTGCAAAGATGACATCCAAGTCAATTGCCACAAAGCAAGTCATGGTTCAAAACCAACCGGGGAAAGACTTTTTTGCCACAACTGATGACATTAAAAGGATTGGCCAAAACTGGAACTTCTCAAAGAGGAATGCCCTTTTTGGTTGTCTACCCCGTAAGAAAATGTTCCTTCAGGAAATTCAACAAATTCCGAATCTTACAAACTTGAGTATTGCTATACAAATAAATAAAATTAAAATGTGTTTGAACACCTATATGGCAGCAATTCGATATGTTAGAAAACTGGCATGAGATGTATAAAAACTACTAACAAAACTTTTTTCCGCAAATAAGACTGTTATAATCTATGATTGGGCCAAGGTCACTGACCTGGGCTATTATGCACATGGGTCAAACCACACTAAAAGATTGAATCCAATCAATTAGCTAGTCCCCCTCAAGTGGACAACTGGGCCATTTTGAATCTAACCAGTTGACCACAAAATTGGATTGGACCCTCCCCTGAAACGAAAGCTCTAGACGCCACCAATACCACGGGTAGACAACCGGGTAAACACAAAGTGGACCGAACAGGCTGTGATACCATGTTATAATCTAAAATTAGGTCAAGGTCACTCAACTGGACTATAATGCACATGGGCCAAACCACACTAAAAGATTGAATCCAATCAATTAGCTAGTCTAACCCATGGCCTTATGAACTTATATATTCTCTCTTATTTTTTCAATGTGGACTCTTAACAAAGACTAAAAGCATAAAATCACAATTATTCTAGGAAACAAGTAGTTTGTGATGTTAGGAAAACTTATGCTCATGCTCTCTGAACTTGCACAGAAACTGGAGGTCTATGCACTGTACCAGAAGATTTACAAAATGGGAACCTTCTATCCAGGCTATCCTGCATAATTTACAGGGTGCCCTTTTGTTGCACAACTCCAACAGTATACACAACCCAGCATGATACAACACAGCGGCATGTAACAAACAATAATTGAGTCTGCTTTCCATGGTGGTTGAATGTTTTCAAGGAAGATAAGCAAAACAACTTACAACAGTATCATCATTCACCATCACATGCAGAACTAATTATTCATGGGGAAATATAAGTTGTCACTACCTGTACTCAGGTGCCGAAGCTTGATTTGATCTATGAGTCCTGCCAAACTGCTGGATTGCTCGGTCAGCACTCCAAGGCAACTCCAGAGTTAAGTGAACTCTTCTTCTCTGTCACAAAAAAGGAACGCAGGTCTTAATAAAAAGCAGATCCCGTCAAAAAAGACAGTTTAAAAATCCAGGATTGTAAGGCAACTGAACCAAAACAACCATACTACCAAGTATCAAGACACATTTAGAGATGCGACAAAATACATGAACTCAAGCTTTTACCTGATTTAATGCCCTTCTATCAGCTTGCAAAGAAACACCAGCTGACCCAGCTTCAGAAATAATAGCTATGAGCTTTTTGCCATCCATGAATAGCTGCTTCTCATGCATATTGACCATTTCCATTGTTACATCTTTCCTATATTAACATGAAAAGTTGGCAAGTTACTGTTGAAATTGAGGATTGACAGGCCTGGCGGGTGGAGAATAACCACCACCCGCCAGTTAGGCGCATAGTTATCACGGCGCCTTGTTAATTTGTGGAGCCCCCTGACCGCCTTGTTGACTAGGTGCCCGCCTAGGCGACAAGTTAAAAAAGAAAAAAAAAATTATATATATATATATATATATATATATATATATATATATATATATATATATACACACACACACACACAAGTGGCAGGCAGTGAGCATTGCCTCTGCCCACTGTCCCTAATATATATATATATATATATATATATATATATATATATATATATACAAGTGGCAGGCAGTGAGTTGTCCCCACTGCCAGCCTAATGTAATAACTTTATTTGGATTATAAACCAAAACAAAGACAAAAAATGCTCTCAAGTCAGCGAGAAAGAAGACTGCGAACAGTGCGAACTGCGAAATGAAGAAGAAAGAAGAAACTAGAAAAAAGAACAATGACTCACAGCGTCGCAGCAGTGGGACGGCGACGGCGACGGCAGCGGGAGGGAGGGCGGCGGTTCTTCTTCTCTACGCTTATTAGGGTTTTAGGTCTACCATTTTTTAAAAAGAAAAAAAAAAAACAAACAAACAAATGGATCGGGTTTCCAGGTTGGACGCCGGTTCGACGTCCATGTCGTCGCCAGTTTGACGTCGGTGGAGACAGGACGCCAAGGTGTCGCCTAGGCGACGCCGTGATAACTATGGACTTAGGCGGAAGCAAAATATGTGAGAACCAAAGAAGAAGAGAATAGAAAGAGTATATTATAATGAAAGATTACAATAGATTGTATCTCTTTTGTGTATACGTACCTCTATATGTACTAAACTACATACTAAATTAACCTAATAGGAATAGGAAACTACTAATAAGAATAGGAAACTAGGACAGATTTCCTAATATTCAACACTCCCCATCAAGCTGATACATCTGGAAGTTCCAAGCTTGGATTAAAACAAACATTCTACCTCACTCAAAATTACAAATGAAAATTAAATGCAACTAGAGGATAACAGTGCGAGATGGCTTCGGAGGGACAATGCTATACCGCCTATACATAACCCTTGGGAATGAAGGCACCAGGGGCGAAGCTTGTCATGAACATCCTTTGGAATGAAGGCACCAAGGGTAAAGATTAACACGAACACCATCACATCAACATAAGCACTCTAGGATGGATGACTTCAAAAGAGATTGCGCTATGTCCGACCCTTCCTTGGGAATGAAGACGAATGCACCAAGAATGGAGCTGAACACAATCCTTGGGAATAAAGATGAGCACACCAAGGACGGAGCTGAACATGATCTTTGGAATGAACACACCCAGGATGAAGTTGAACACGAACCTCGAGAATGAAGATGAACACACCAAGGATAGAGTTGAACATGAACAACCTCCAAATAACACAAGAGAGCGGTAGAGGCGAAAAGGGAGCAAAGAATACCAAAGGATGCAGTAGAGCCCATAGTAATGAAGATAAAATAGCAAAGGACAGTAAAGGATAACACACCGATTGTAGATAGTCACACTCCCCCTTACTTGAAACATGGGAAATAATCAAAGGCCTTTATAGTAATGCTGAAACTGAACACCCATGGGATAAGGTATACCGGAGATAAAGAAACAAACACGGTTATACCAAAACACAAACACCTTGGGGAAAAGTTTAGCAACAAAGCCTTCAAATTTCACCAAAAAGTCAAAAAATGGCAAGAGAATCTGTCTTAAGGGATGTTTGACCGACGTTGACTGTTGACCGGCAAAGTTGACTGGCGTTGACCGTTGACCGGCAGAGAGAGATCTGGCCGGAAAACAGTGGAGGATTCCCGGCGACGGCGGTGGCGCGTGAGGCGTCAGATGGCGACCAGATTTAAGGTGAAGGCTCGCGACGAGGTTCCGAGTAAGCTGTGGTGTCGATTTGGGAGAAAAACCACAAGGTATGCATCGGAACGAAGAAGCAGTCGAGGCTGTAGCGGCAGTGGCGGCGGTGGAAAGAGAGTATTTATTTTAGGGTTTATTTAGGTTTTAGGCTCTGATACCATGTTAAAATTGAGGATTGATAGGCCTGGCGGGTGGAGAATAACCACCACCTGCCAGTTAGGCGGAAGCAAAATATGTGAGAACCAAAGAAGAACAGAATAGAAAGAGTATATTATAATGAAAGATTACAATAGATTGTATCTCTTTTGTGTATACGTACCTCTATATAATATACTAAACTACATACTAAATTAACCCTAATAGGAATAGGAAACTACTAATAAGAATAGGAAACTAAGACAGATTTCCTAATATTCAACAGTTACCATAAGATAACAAACTACTATTTTGTACAGTCAAAACAAGAGACTTACGTGTTTCGTGCCTGATAGGAAACACCCTTTCCACCAGACGTCCTAACAAGCATGCCTCGCCTCCCTGTAATCTCTGCAACTTCGTCAGGACCTCCAAGCTGCAGAATGAATTACAAAGTTGAATACCAAAAAAAAAGTGTGAAGTTGTTACAAATGCACAGTGCAGATTATGATTTTTGTTTTTTCTAAATGCATGCAAGAAGAGAAATTGGAAAAACCTGATCAATAATATCATCCAATGGATTGTTAGGGAGGTCCAGTGAACGAATTATATCCAAAATTTTTAATTTTCGGCCAACAGCTCCTTCATACCTTAAGTCACAATCAAAGTGTTTTAGAAATGTAAGTTCAGGCTTAATGAACTTTGACCATTCCTGGAAATATATCTTACCTTTTAGAAAGTTCAGCAACATATGCATGCCTCGCTTGGATGTATTCATCTGTTTTTTCCTTGCATGTAGGGCAGGACCAATCCCCAGACACAGCACCTATAACAGGTGGAACTACACATGCGGTATGGACAAGTTGACTGCAACATGAACACTGCAACAACTTCTTCCTTTCCTAGAAGACAAGACAACATTTTATATATATATATATATATATATATATATATATATATATATATATATATATATATAAACCTACAGAAAACAAAACCAGCAACTCTTGAAATAAATATACCTCTTCTAAATTGCAAATATCACAAATCTGAAATTCATCATCATCAGACTCAGTAGATTCATATTCAGAATCAACTGCATATTTCAAAATTAACTAATCAGAAATATAATAACCTTGAGCACAAGCACCAGAGATTAAAAGCAACAGTCATGCCAACTGGGAAACATTGTAGGCAAATGAGGTAGGTTCCAAAAAGTATAAAAAAAAAAAAAAAAAAAAGAAAAACCAACATTGTTTAATACTGTGGAACCATAAAACATGAATAACACATTTATGAAGGAAGTAATAGAGTATTTGATTAAAAAACTAGAATTTGGAATATCCAAATTTATAATCAAATGAAAAATAGTCCAAAAGGTAAATGCATAATATCCAGGAATCAATTGATTTACTTTCTGACTCTTCATCACTTTTGTCATCTCTTGTAGTCTGCCACTTAGCAACTTTCCTCACACGGCCTCGAAATGATACATCAGGTGTTGCCAAATGTCTCTTTCGTTGAAGCTCTTTCACACTTTCCTCTAACATTCAAATCAGAAAGTGAAACTGGCAGGGAAAACAGAAGGTGCATAACATAAGGAGAAAGACATGCATACCTGGAAGTTCTTCAGGCTTTTCAGGCAAAGGATAATTCTCTTCAACCAATTTTAGTAACAATTCACGAGGTCCAGAAATAAAATCATCAAGTTCAAGACCCTAACAAAAATAATAGTAAGACAAACTAAGTGACATGCTTTATTTATGGAGAAGTGCAGGATGCAAACCCTCACACTTACATATTTTGATACAGCTTCCTCAGTTCGCGCTTCTCCAGTACTTTGCAGGCCTATAACTACACATTTATTTTCCGTCAAAGCTTGCTTAGCAAGTCTAACTACTGCAGGCACCTTAGCTGACATGCAGATGTGTCTAAAGAAACGCTATAGTGGAGCAAAGCAAAGTCGAAATAGTTATTACACCACGAAGATAATAATTTTCAGGACATGGTTCATCAGCAATGAATATGAAAACAACCTGATGGTTGGCCCAGTAGAGTCTCCAAAGCTGACTATAATTGGGTTTAGTGTCAGTGACAAATGTACTGGCTGAAAGCAATTCTACTCTTAATTCAGCCCAGAACTCTGCCGCTTTTTTATACATTTCCTACAAATTGCATAATATTAGAAGGGAACATAGGGTTGGATACCATAAATTAAAATCCAAAGTAAGAAATAAAGTTGCCCAAAAAAACATAAATCAGCAGCATAATCCACATGATACTATGATAGACACTAAAAATTAATAACAACAGTACATAAGCATTGAGAAACCAGAAGATGCAAAGAATATTTTATGGAAGCAATTGCGCCATCTCAATGGTTGCCATTTTCATTAAAAGAATAGGCAGAATCAAAAAGATGAAACTCCAGAGTGCCAGTTAAAAATGGGAAAAAGAAAAGTAGTTCAGTCAAACAAATGATAAGCCATGTTCATGTAACTTGACTATTCTTGTATGTATTAAAAATCTCCCTACTTTCAAGGAAAAAGAACTTGCATTCTAAAATGGTTTGATTCATTTTTATATACAAGGTCTCGTCAAGCTGATCTTCAATAGAGCATCAAATGACTTGGTTAGGTTTATAACAGCAATTACTTTTACATTGTAGAACTAGTCTGGAATCCTTCATGTCAAAAAATATAACATTGGATGGAAAGCACAATCAGACTCATCCGATGATCTGCAGAAGGCAACGTGCGCCTTAAAAAACTATTTAATATCTTAATTGCAATGAATCTAAACATAATTTTAACTTCCTGGCCAACTTCTTTGATGTCAGTATGACCAGAAAACTTCATCTTACCATCATCTTGGGCTCTAGTGGTACTTCAACCACTTCAAATTCAACACCTTTGTAGCTCAGAGTACGACAAACATACATACCCCTATAGAATCAAACAGTCAAATAATCATATTTTTAATTTTCTTAATATAGCATTCTTATTTTCAAAACAGGATCATTAATTCAAACCTTGCTTTCATGTCCATGGCAACAAGTTCAAGTGCCCCAACACCACCTTTCTCCATAGCACCTGGCATCCCAAAAATGAAGGGTAGAAACAGTTATGTGCTCCCGTCATGGGCAAGAAAACATAAGATAAAAGGAAGAAAGAATAAAAGTTGGAAAAAAAAAAAACACTGGGTTTGCTTGAGACCCAAAACTCCCTTAAACCCTTTATGGGATTGAATTTTTGCCTTCCTTTATTCTAAATAACACTCCCTTGTATAGGGATGATTACAAAGATTCCTAAACAAATTTGGGAGTTTCTAAATAATTAATCTACCTAATCTAATTAGAAGACTAAAAGTAATAAGTTAAATAACTATTTAGTAATTTCTAAATAATTATTTAGTAGTTTCTTAATATCTAAACTATGTAATGTAATAGTAATAAAATAAGACTTCCTCAGCATGTATTACACCCGTCCTGGACATCAAGCTTGCCCGCAAGCTTGATAACCTTGCGCATCATGTAGCCAACATTTCCCATGATCAAATGGCCTCACCAAAAGAATTGCCAATGGGGAAGCCACAATTAGCATTCTAAGGATCAACTAACGAGCCAACAGTAGTGAGGAGGACCCCAATCTTGGACATCATTTGAATGAGTTAGTTGGAACCACCATGTTGGGTGATGAGGAAGACTCCAAAGATCAAGACTGACCCATACCTTGTGACACAACCATGAAATGAGATGGGGCTGTAGTCTGTAGAGTGGTGAAATAACCCTCCCACGCAGTGGATAGTTTTTGGAAAGGGCACAACACCTCAATTTCTGTAAAATCAGCAGCCTTCTATGTTGAATCAACATTAGGCTGATCGGCTTAAACGTTGGCCTACATCGGCGCTGTCTCAATATGTGGGTGATCAACAATGATTGTGAATGATGATTGGGTGATCAACAATGGTTGTAAATTATTCTCGCATGACTTGGGAATAATTTGTTACTTTTGTTGACAATTATTCTCGCATGACTTGGGTATACTTCATGAGGAGTTGGTCTGAATTGTTTTCTCATTTTCGGGCTTTTTGTGTTGAGATAAAAATGCAATTTCATACTCATGTGCATATCATGCGAAGTGATAATGCTAAACAATACTTTTTTGAACCTTTTTCCTCTTATATGCGTGAACATGGTCTTTTTACACCAATAATCTTGTGTCGACACTCCATCTTAAAATGGGGTTGCTGAAAGGAAAAACAGCCACTTGTTGGAAACTGCTCGAGCTCTCCCGTTCCAAATGCAAGCTCCCAAACATTTTTGGGCTAATGCAGTTTCTACTGCACGTTTTTTGATCAACCGTATGCCATCTTCCGTATTACGTGGAACAACACCCTTGTAGAACTTTATGTAGAGAAGCATATGTATTGAACACTCAATCAATTCTAAGTTGTACAAAGAAGCCTATATATATACAGTCTAACAGAAGACCAGCCACTAATTCGAATTTCAAATGGGTAGCTGAGAGCAACCCTCTAACAAACTTCTAACACTCCCCCTCATGTTGGAGTATAGATATCAAACATGCCCAACTTGTTACATATATATAACACCCGACTCTCACAAAGCCCTTTCGTGAATATATCAGCCAGCTGATCACCGCTCCGAACGTGTGTAAGAGATATTAGTCCCTGCTCCACTTTCTCCCGTATAAAATGGCAGTCAACTTTAATATGCTTCGTCCGCTCGTGAAAAACTGAATTACTCGCGATGTGTATGGCAGCACAATTATCACACCACAAATCTATTGGTAACTTCACTTCAACACCCACTTCTTTTAGAATGTTATGCACCCAGACTATTTCACTTGTCACGTGAGCCATAGCCCTATATTCCGACTCTGCACTTGAGCGCGACACCACATTCTGCTTCTTACTCTTCCACGAGACGAAGTTGCCTCCTACATACACCACAATAGCCCGTCATAGATTTTCTGTCACTCGGTGAACCAGCCCAGTATGCATCAGAGAACGCCTCAACACGCATATACCCGTGGTCAGCGTAAAGAATCCCTTTTCCAGGAGCACCCTTCAGATACTTCACAATTCGAATAACTGCTTCCCGGTGAGTTTGCGTAGGCGCACTCATGAGCTGACTAACCACACTCACTGGAAACGCAATATCCGAACGGGTAATTGTGATATAATTCAACTTTCCCACTAACATCCTGTACCTCTCCGGATCTTCAAACGGCTCCCCCTCTCCTGCCAACAACTTCACACCTTGTTCCATGGGCGTGTCACACGGTTTTGACCCAAGCAGCCCTGTGTCACCGAGCAAGTCTAACACATATTTCCTCTGTGAGAGAAATACACCCTTCTTAGAGCGTGCCACTTCAATTCCCAGAAAGTACATCAGCACTCCCAAATCCTTAGTATGAAACTCAGTTCCGAGAAAGGACTTGAGAGCCTAGATCCCACCTGCATCACTGCCTGTAATTACAATATCGTCTACATACACTACTATCAACAAAACACACCCATAGTTAGTATGTTTGTAACAATACCGCGTGTGATCATATGCACTTCGCTTCATTCCAAATTCAATAATCGCGTTGCTAAACCTTCCAAACCACACACGCGGAGACGGCTTTAGCCCATATAAAGACTTCTTCAGCTTGCACACTTTCCCAGACTCCCCTTGAGCAACAAACCCAGCGGTTGCGCCATATAGACCTCCTCACGCAAATAAACCATGTAAGAAGGCATTCTTCACATCAAGTTGGTACAAGGGCCAATGACTCGAAGCTGCCAAAGAGATAAATATACGCACATAAGTTAACTTGGCTACTGGAAAGAACGTCTCGGTATAATCTATACCGTATGTTTGTGCGTACCCCTTGGCCACCAAGCGTGCTTTGAGTCGAGCTACAGAACCATCCGGGTTCATCTTAACCACATACACCCACTTGCACCCAATAGCAACCTTACCAGGTGGAAGCTGTACTAGATCCCAGGTCTGGTTTTCCTCAAGAGCGTTTATCTCCTCTACCATCGCATGCCTCCAACCATCATGGGACATAGCCTGACTCAAAGACTTTCGAACAGGAATAAACTCTAACTGAGACACAAAAGCACGTGAAGATGACGATAAATTGGTATATGACACACAGGACGGAATGGGATGAACACAACGACGTTTACCTTTTCGAATGGCGATAGGAACATCCTGATCTAACGACAAAGATTCTGGTAAGGGAGGATTCACTGGTGGAACCGTTGGGGCTGCACGTGTGTCAACTTCTCTCGGCCGCCTATGATAAACCTGCGTAACTGGAGGCCTAGACTCAATCTCTCCCAAGGAGTGAGGGACAGTAACAACGTATGTTAGAAAATCATCTAGCTCGGAACTACACCCAGACGAACCAGGGAGCACTTCACTAAACAAAATATTCTCAAAGAAGGAGACATCAGCAGAGACTAAGTATCGCCCCAAGTCTGGGGAATAACAACGATACCCTTTTTGAGTACTCGAATACCCCACAAAAATACACTTTAATGACTTAGGATCGAGTTTCCCCCTTTGAGGACGAACATCCTAGACAAAACAAGTACACCCAAACACCTTAGAAGGAAGGGAGAACGGCGGTTTGGATGGATAGATAAAGTGACCAGAGAAGCGTATGTATTGAACGCTCAATCAATTCTAAGTTGTACGAAGCCTATATATATACAGTCTAACAGAAGACCAGCCACTAATTCGAATTTCAAATGGGTAGCTGAGAGCAACCCTCTAACAAACTTCTAACAACCCTATTAGTGTCTCTTCTCTCAAAAGTATGTGTTTCCTATTCCACCAAAAACGTTTGGATGTACTTGTTTTGTGAGAGATGTTAGGCCTCATGTCACAAAGATAGATCCAAAATCTCTAAAATGCATCTTTCTGGGATATTCGCTTGTCCAAAAGGGGTATAGGTGTTACTATCAGTCCACGGGAAGATATCTAGTGTCGATTGATGTAACATTTCATGAAGATGTACCTTTTTCACCTCCTTCAACTTCTGAAAGCCACGGGGGTGATGATGTTGTTCTCATCTATACAGTTACCACAACTTCTGATTTTATCCCTGCTTTACGACCACCAATCACTCAAGTCTATTCTCACAAGCAACAATCTGTTCCTCCAGAAATAGTTACTCCCAAACTGGATACTTTTTTGGCTCCTGACACAATGCGCGTCTCATGTCCTAAGTCGGCATCTTTGTCGGATGATCTAGATGACTTGCCAATAGCCCTTCGCAAAGGTAAAAGATCTTGTACTTATCATGTTTCATCTTTTATCTCCTATACTCACTTACCTCCTATTTCCTGCTCTCTTTTTTCTTCTCTTGACTCCATACAAACTCCTAAAACTATAAAACAAGCCTTGTCCCACAAACTCCTGTTGGTGTAATGCTATGATTGAGCAAATGAATGCCTTAGATTACAATGGTACATGGGACTTGGTAGATTTACCTGCAGGCTGCATGGAATAAGAAGGCCATTGGGTGCAAGTGGGTGTTTGTGGTAAAGGTTAACCATGATGGGTCCGTGGCTCGATTGAAGGCTCGTCTAGTTGCAAAAGGGTATGCTCAAACCTATGGTATGATTACAAAGAAGAAAACCTTGGGTTTGCTTGAGACCCAAAACTCCCTTAGACCCTTTTTGGGATTGAATTTTTGCCTTCCTTTACTCTAAAAGGCACTTTCTTTTATAGGGATGATTACAAAGATCCCTAAACTAAGAATGATTAATTATTTGGTAGTTTCTAAATAATTAATCTACCTAAACTAATTCGAAGACTAAGAGTAATATGTTAAATAACTATTTAGGGTGTGTTTGGTTGGTGGGTTTTGCCCATAGGAATGGGTATGAAAGTGATTGTTGTCGTTTGGTTGATAGGTTTTTAGAACACTACTATGGGTTTCGAATACCCCATCAATTGAAAACCCCATACCCAAATAAAATAAGGGTTTCATTCCCTTATTCATTCTCAAGCACTACTATTAGTAACCATTCCCATTCCACCCTACTACCAAACATGTTAAATACTTCCACCAAAACCCATTACCATTACCAAGTATTTGATACCCATTCCGATTCCGATTCCTATGTGCGAACCAAATACACCCTTAGTAATTTCTAAATAATTATTTAGTAGTTTCTTAATATCTAAACTATGTAATGTAATAGCAATGAAATAAGACTTCCTTAGCATGTATTAGAAACCAAAAAATCAGATGAATATGCACGTATAAATAAGACTAAATTCAGGAAAAGAAAACATTAAAGAGAGGAAATTGAACAAAAATAATAATCCCCATTACTAAGCTTCTCTCAGTTTCTCTTAAAAATTAACAGTGTCTAAGTTTCCTTAATAAATCTTGCAATACTCTTCACTCCTTTAGTACTAGCTCTCATCCCCGAGGTCAGAGTTCAACAAAAGAATGATTTTTTTAGTTCCAATTTGATTTGAGTATGATAATAGTTTTTTCAACAAGTTCATCGCCCAAAACCCAATGACTGTGAAAGGCATATCATCTTGATATCTCTATGAAGAACCTACCACAATATACTGACATAGTGACATTGAGAATAGTGAAGAAATTAAAGTTCCAAAGTCAAGATGCATCGAAATGCTCTACCAAATAATTTAAAAATAAAAAAACATAGCCCCCACTCATAGAGATACTTGGTCCTAAAGTTTATTTCAGAGACAAGACCAAGTAAAACGAACATACTAAGCTTCTAAAATATTTACTGTGAACTGGGTAATGTTGTTGCAAATAAGGTAGCTTAAACAATTCACATTAGCAAGAGTCAGTTCACACAACCAATAGCCAGACCTAAGAAGTCACGGAAATTGGTGAAAGCTGTTCCAGCTCCCCAAAGACCAAGGCGAACCATGTAACCCATATTGCGAGGTTCTGATGCACCAGTTGCTGAGCAATATATAACACGAGCTTGAGGAAGCCGAGCCTGTCATTTAGGATCCAAATACATCTAAATGAGCACTACAACATTAAAACCAAATATACTCTCTGAACTCATAAAAAGTAAGACAAACATCATTTTATATGAAGATTGCATGCGTCCATCTTTCTGCAGTCCACATCTCCTTTATGACAAGATATAAAATTTTACAGTTCTACTCAAAGCAAACAAATGTTTCTTCTTCCTCCTTTCCATTGTTCCTTTCTGTTCTTCTTTGAGTTTTGGGAGGGGATTGAGCACTAGAGCACACTGCTTAACCATTTTGTAATAAACAAACCAAATATAACCCAAATGCCCAATAAAATGTATAGAAAATGAAGCCGAAAATCAAGACAGATCAAGTCTCTGACTTGAGGACAAACCTGAATTTCAAGAACAGCTTCACCTGTTCGAGTTGGCTGACCTCCAGCTTCTGGGACCAAATTCTTGGCTTTATGACACTACAATTAAGTAGCCATATTTTAACCATGAGGCCAATAAGACAGTGGAAGGATCTGACTTCACTGGAAGATCAAATAGTTAAAGTCAATATCAAAATGAAACATTACCTCGTCAAATATGATGAGACCATCATTTTCTGGCCCACACCACTGTACAAGCTGCTGTAAACGAGAACGGCCTTTCTCAGAGGATGCTATAAGGCTGCTGTATGTCAAGAAAACAATTCCCTCCCTAACGCCTACAGACTTCGAATCAAGCTTAGAGTAAGGTAGTTTGTTCAATGCATGCACTGCAAAGAAAATGTGTAAAGCTTGGATTATAAATGCCTAAATTTTTAGTACCTTAACACCAAATAAAAGCTAAAAAGCATATGGAGGCAGGTAACTGTGAGTGTGTGCGCGCATAATGTACATAAATGTATGTATATATATACAGACGCATGTGCATTATACAAACTTATATTCCATCCAACATCTGTACTGTGCAAACCCAGGCTGTGCATCACCAAGACCATTGGGACTGACAATTGCAACTGAAAGTAGCTACCAAAGCCATGTCCCAAAATGGCTAAAGCACTGCTACACTAAGTTTCTTTGGCCCTTTTTATAATGTTAATGCAAAAATCCTCGTCCCAGTAATGTGGCAGGGGTGTGACATGTACTAAGTTCTTTTGGCAATTGGCAATTTATGAGTACTCAAGATTTCAAGGGGCAGAAAACCATAACAAGAACCCATCTGGATCAACATATGTGGTGCTTGATGGTTAAAAAGTTTCACTAAAATTATAAGCAAATAAATAATTCAGTACGCCAGATTTAAAGAAAATGATTGTAGGTGAACCAACTTTATGATAGGGTCTGATTTTCAACTTGATAAAGGCAACATATTGTTTGAGTTGTTGCTTTGGAGTACTCCATTCTCAACAGTCAACTTCCCAATATTGAATGAAATATAGACATTTCATTTTCTCTTTAAAATATATTTTTATTAAAGAAACTAGCTTCTAAGGAATTTGTTTCGTATGGTCCAAACCATTCTTAGCACCATTACTCAAACAATTATGACCGAACACTTGCACAAAACAGAAGAGATTTAGGGGTGTTTGGTTCGTGGGTATTAAGGGTAGGTATGGGAAGAAAAGTTATTTAGGAGAGTTTCTTTTACAACTCCACTTTCCTAGTAGCAATCATTTATGACAAATGAATAACAAGGAAATAAAGGAAGCTAGGCATAACGTCTCTTTTTAGTGAAACGATGAAATAACAAACTTAGAAATAGCATATAAAAGTGTAATTATATCTAACCCATATTTCAATGGTTATAGAAGCCATCCAAGCTGCACATTTAAAATAAACCCTTCCCAAATATGTAAACCCAAGCAATAATAGATGCGGCACAGGGGAGTGGAAGAGCAAAATTATGTGGGGCCCAACTTTTGAAATTGAGGGATTGAAGGCCTGGCAGGTTAGGCGGAAGCAAAATATGCGAATAAACCAAAAAGAGATGACATTAAAAAATATGAATAATAATAGATCATAATAGATTGTATCTCTATGTTTTTGGCATTTTGCATATTGAATTGAATAGAGATCTTATATTTATAGGAATATTGTGCTAACCCACTCCTACTAGAAATAAGACTAAGGGCTAGTTTGACAATCAGGGGTTAGCGGATTCTGTTAGCGGTTAACAAATAGCAGATTGTGTTAGCGGGTTTGCCCAGCGGATTGTATTAGTGGTTTGTAAAAAGATGTTTGGTAAAATTAGCGGTTAACATGTAAAATGACCAAAAGGGTATACATATATAATAATAATAATAAGAAGAAAAAAAAAAACAAAAAGATTTGGGATCATTTCTGATCCCACATCGGAAGGTAAAAAAAAGACGGGGCATTGAGCTCCCTTATAAAAGGGAGCTCAACGCCCCTTCAATTTCCTCCTCTTGCCCATCCCACATCGGATGGGCAAGAGAAGAGAAGCCTGAGGCTTCTTTTAAAGAAGCCTCAAGCTTCTTAATAACATAGTCAATCTTTTTTTTCAAAAATGAAGGGTGTTTTGGGGAAGGATTTTATCCTTCCCCAAAATGCTGACCCCAAACGCTGCTAAAAGCAGTGTTTGGGATTTTACCAAACGTTTTTTTTTTTTTTTTTTTTTTGCGTTTTGAGTCTTTTGACTATTCAAATCAAAACGCCAAAATGGCGGATCCGCCAATTACCAAACATTGCCTAAGGTTTCCTATTATTCAACATTCTCCCTCAAGTTGGAACATCTAGAAGTTCCAAGCTAGAATTAAGATGAACACTCTACCTAAATTGTAGTAAAGAATCTCAACAATGGACCAAAAATTCTTCAAATTTCATCAGAAGATTAAAAAAAAAAAAAAAAAAAGCAAAAAAAAGGATCTGAAAATTCTCGCCAGAAAATAGTTCTCGCTAGTAATCATACGCGCTAGTGCATCAAGGAGGCTCGCCAGAGAATGGCAGCGGTGGCAACGTGTGATGCCGGTGACGATGCCAAATGATGACAAAATTATACAAGATTGGTCGCCATAGAGGGAAGAACCCACACGTGTAGGCAATGAGATCAAAAGGCCACCCAAAAAGGAGATAATCGCTAAAAACAGAGTGGAGACCTCACAGCTTGTGGTGACCTGTGACGAGGTATCCGGCAATGGGTTTTTGGGTGTAGGGTCACAACGAGGCCCTAGATACTGCGGTGGTGCTAGTTTGCAAAGGCAGCCATGGAAAAGGTCGGATCTGAGAAGACAGTTGAGCTAAAGCACTGTTCATATTACTGGAAAACACGGTTTCAGCTTGAAGAAAAATATAAAAATGGCCTAGGACACGTAGGTGCTGATACCATGTTGAAATTGAGGGATTAAAGGCTGGTGGGTGCCAAATAGGCAGAAGCAAAATATGTGATAGACCAAAGAAAGAGAGAAAAGAGAATATATTATTGTATTAATAATAATATATCACAATAGGTTTTCCTAATATTCAGCACCAGTATTTAACCACTAAGACCAAAGACACAAAGATAATAAGATATACCTTCAATACACATTGCACCAACATCATCCAAATCTCTTCTTGCATCAAATTTCAAATCAGAACCAACAGAAATCCACCTATGCAAAAGTAGAAGTACAAAAAGTCATCAAAAACATGAGCTTGTTATTATATATAATAATGCTGAAACAAGTCCCAAGAATTTGAAGCATTAACAAAGGAACACTAATTCTTCTGGCTATAAAGTGTAAAATGGAGACCAAACTATAACCATCAAAAACATGTGTCTGATCTATAATTCTCAAACTCCCCGGGTCATTTGATTGGAGGGAGTTGGAATTCCCTTCTCACATAATTCCCAAATCTGAAAATTTACTGAGTTTGGTTTGAGGGAGTTTGAATTCCTCCATTTTGTGGAATTGGAATTCCTACCCCACCCCATAGGATTTTTTTATTCCTTGGCTTTGGGAAAAAAAATTGGAGTTGTCAAGACAAAAATACGCCTCCCAATTCTAACCATAACCCACCTAAAAATTGTAATTATTTTTAATTTTTAGTTTATTATAATAGTGTTGTTATAATAATAATAATATTATTATTATATTATTACTATTATAGACTTTATTTAATTTAATTTATTATTATTATACAGGGACATTTTGGTCTTTATACTATTTGTTCCCTTTGAATTCCAATATAGAAATTTCTAGTAATTATATTCCCACCAACCAATGGAATTTTAATTCATACTTTATTCCTCCATTGTTACTCTCACATGGAATTGCAACTCTTTTCCCCGTTAAGTCCCTCGTTGCAATCAAACACCCCGTTACAAGTATTTGAAACATTAAGAAAAGAAAGCTGTTTCTTCTTATTGATAAAGTGCAAAATGAAAAATAAAATAAAAGTAAGGTGGTGTTTTACAACTTTTAAACATGAGAATCGGATTCAAATCAGATTCCCATTTTGTTTGTATAATTTTAATGCACTGGAATGACATTTGAATTCCTTTGGAAGAATAGATTTCAATCCAGAAGTAAAGTCCACTTCTGCATTCTGGAATGAAAAATAAGGAAAAAGAAAAAAACAAATTTTTATTGCCATTCTTGTTCGTCAAAATCCATAATGCATGATTTGACTGATTTCATTTTTGTTTTAACAAATTTTTACTTTCTCTTTTATAATAATACCTTTACATTATTTTTCAAATTTTGATTCCGATTCCAATTTCTATATCAAACTTACTTTTACTAAAATCCATTCAAAATACTATAAAGTATTTGATTCCAATTCCTATGTTTGAACCAAATGCCCCCTAACTATAACAGGAACACTAAAGTAACCCCTGTGACTCGTAAGAATCTTACAAAATACATATCTTTCAGAAATTGATGCACCCTGTATAACACCAAAAGATTAAAGTGCAAGTGTGCAACCAAAACTGAAAGATTTATAAGTGGAAAAAGTACTCACAAAGACTTGACCATCACACCAAATAAGAAACTTACAAAGCTTTCCTTCTGCCATGGTGCCAATTTTCCCATATCAAACCAGCAATTGTTCTTCCTTTTCCCACACCAGCACCATCACCTACAAAAAATCCTGCCCTATCGCCGTTTGGGAGATGCTGATGATGCCTCTGTCATAAGAAAAAGTTACATCAAGATAAAATATTAGTGACAAAATCAGTTATACGTGTAGATGCAGAAGCAACCTGACAAGCATACACCAATGTCTCAATCTGCAAGCAGGATAATGCTTTTGAGCTTTCCAGCTCATCTTTGATCTTGAGATCATAGGTGGGTTCAGGTGGCTGTACTGCAGACAAGGAGGACGTCTCCACAACAGGATCTGGATGAGGAGGTCCAATAGATAACTTGGGAGGCCGCTGCATAAAATCAAACAAAGAAACTGAAGAAAAGAAGCCTTCTGCTATAAATCCTATAATTCCTTTTAATTTAAATTGGAGGGCTCAAATATAATATTGAAGGTGGTAAAATGTGGCAGTAGTGAACACTTACATAGTCTGTAAAAGTTTCACCAACCAATCCACCTTCCTCTTCTTCTCGTTCCACTTCAATAGCAACCTGAATCTCAACAATGAACAAGTTAAGAAGTGTTGAAAAGCTACAATAATTGGTCACAGGCTAGAACATGACAATCACGAACTATCCAAAACCAAGAGCAGAGCCCATCTCCCATGCATACCATAGTTAAATATGGATTAGCTAATTGAACTTAAGTGTAAATGTTAATAAAACAACAAACAATGCAAATGAGATTAAATAACCATAGAGACGTTCCCGATGAACGTTCTTTCTTTGTGCAGCCATCAGTAAAAAGTGTGTGCACTCTCTTTTTCATTTTTGTGCATATCTGACAATATTTGTGAGACTTGTTACAAATTCTCTTTGTCTTAGTTTTTCATAAACTTAAAGCATCTTTATGAGGCACCTGTACTGTTTATACACCCTTCAATGTTTTGAAAAGTGATCATTTTGGTGCTGGGTGGTGGAAAATTATGCATAGCTGAATTCCAGTTTTTTTTTAATGGAAAAAAAAAAACAGTAATGTTTTGCAAGTTATAAGTGGAGGAGAAAACCCAGCACATTGTCAAGATGGGTAAAAGGCAAAAACGCAATTGCTTGTAGCATGTAGTCTTTTTCCAGGGAGGGCTTAAATTGCAGCTTCACCTTATTCTTCCTATTTTTAGATGGTTGGAGAGAAAAGAGTTTAATGGGAAAACCTCATTGACTTCTTCGGGAGGCGGGGGAGGAGGTGGTGGACGCAGGTGAGCAGGAATGGGTGGAGAGGGAAAGAACTGCTTTATTTTGGAGAGATCAACAGCAAGGTCCACCGCACACTGGGGACAAGAGAAGCGTGTGAGGCCATGGGGAACGTTAAGTATGGCCTTGCAATGAGCACAGGGTAACTGGATCTTGGTGGGATCGATGCCATGTGCTGGAGCGCCGCTGCGCAGTTGCTGAGCGTGGGCGGGCATGAGCTCGGGAGGGAGCATCTGTGGCAATTGACATGTGGGGCACATAAACTCGGTCAGTCCGGGTCCGACCGTCAATATCATCTTGCAACCAGCACACCGAACTTGGCAACCCGCAACTCTTCCGTCGTTGGGAGCTGCGGCGGCGGCGGCGGAGGGAGGAGGTGGAGGGGCGATTGGAAGAGGCGGCACCGAAGGCTGTCCCATATTTCTAAATGAACAGAAGAGAGACAGAGAGAACAATATTAGATTCAACTCTGCTCGAAATTGCCTGCGATTTTTTCTTTTTTTAAAGCTAATTGAGTTGAGAAATTGCGATGAGTAATTGCAATTTAGAGTTGAGCCCCGAGCTAGAAGAAACAGTGAAGAGGATGCTGGGGCGGGGTGCCCGATTGGGAGAAGTGATAATTGGCCGAATGAATGAATTTTGGGTGTGTAATGGACGTTAATGATGTCGCCGCTGGGCCTTGACGCTCCCGCTCCCGCTCCCGGTTAACTCGTCACGGCGTTAGACCACGCCCCCGCCACTCTCTCTCTCTCTTCTGGAAAATAATATATTAAAAAAAAATTGTAAAAAATGTCTCTCTATAATATGTCAATTATCAATGTCACCCCTAAATTATGAATGGTGTATATGTTTCCCCTCAATTATCAAAATGATACACATATAGCTTTTTCCGTAACGGACCTGTGATCCCCACTACTGTCCATCGTTGGTACTTTGAATCGAGGGAGGAAAAAAACAACTAAATTACATATTTACTCCAACTTAACGTTGTCGTACACTAACGGAAATCACATGTCCGTTACGGGAGGGGCTATATGTCACCGTTTTGATAATTGAGGGGGGCAACATTTACACCACTCATAATTCAGGGGTGACATTGATAATTAGCATATTATAGGGGACATTTTTTACAAATTTCCTTATATCTAACTATTTAATTTTAATACAACAATTATAACTTTAATGTGTATTTAAAGTATAAATGATTTTACCAAAACTATGTGGTCTAATGGTACTCAGGTTGGACTTTCATTTAAAAGGTTGAGAAAGTATATGAACAAATACTATATTGTAATAGAGCAAGTAGCATTCAAAAAAAAAAGTATAAATGATTTTTAGAAAATGAATTATTTTTCATAAAATATTTTCATTTTCAATATTTGGTTACTTTATAAAAATTTGTATTAGTCTCTTTGGATTATTTTATAAAAAAATAAGTTGAATTGTATAAATAAACATTTTAATTATTTTGTTTATAATATAACAACATTTATATGTATAATAATATAAATGGTGGTACTGGTAGTTGTGGTGGTGTTATTTATATAATAATAATAATAATAATAATAATAATAATAATAATTGGTGGTGATGGTGATGGTGACGGTGGTGTGTGAATTAAAAATGATGGTCTTTTTATTTGGCCAAATATTTATTTTCCTTTTACTCACGTTTTTCATTATCTACCAAACATTGAAAACCTGAAAATTTATAGAAATCATTTGTAGGTTTTCAAACACACCATTGGGGTGTGTTTGGAAACTAAACAAATGATTTCTGAAAAAGTAAGTCATTTTTCATAAAACATTTTCATTTATATCGTTTTGTTGCATTCTAAAAGATTATCTGTGTGTGTTTCCAAAAAATGAGCAGATTTGTATAATTAAGCATTTTAATTGTTTTGTTCAAATATATCATTTATAATATTAATATAATTGGTAGTGGCGGTGGTGATGATGATGGTGAAGGTGGTGGTAGCGTGGTGATGGCGATGGCAGTTATGGTAGTGGTGGTGGCGGCGGTGACCATGGTGATGTGATGTTGGTGTATTAATTGAAAAATGACTTCCCTATTTTGTTGGAAAGTCATTTTTCAATAAAATGAGGGCATTTTCATTTGACCAAACACTTATTTTGAGTTGATGTTATTGGTTTATGCTGCGTTTAAAAATTTATGTGTCCTTTGCATATGCATATTTATATATCTAAACTTGTGAAATTATGAGTGAGCAAAATATCAATTACTCGCCAAATAACCATAACCGATAACTGAACCAATCAAAATAGTCATGGCCCGTTTACTACACATAAATTGTTATATGTTGTCTAATTTATCATTCTTTGTTTTCCATTATTTGTTTTTATGTTTATAAAATTTGTTTACTAACACTTATTTTTAACTTTTTTTTTAATATTAACTCTATAAAATTAACAAAAGTTTAATTTCGAGTTATTTTTAGACTTTATATTTAAAATATATTTTCTTCAAATAAAATAAATATAGTTTCTACTTTTAAGTCCAATATATGTAAGATTTTTACATTTGATATACAAATCAATTTTATATTTGTATGTAACATAAATAAAAATATATCCGGACCAATATCCTATTAAGTTCACATAAAATTTAGTTTAGATAATATTAATCTTTTGTTAACTAATATTCAAAATATTTTTTGATATATTCAATTGAATGAAATGTCTATAAATATATAATTTTTACTTTGAATTCTAATATAGTAATATATGTGAATTTTTAATATCCGATATCCGGATCAAACTTGTATTACGATATAACATAATTAAAAATATTCGAATCAATAATCAATTAAGTTTAATCAAAATATAAAACTTGGTATAGAGTTTAATTTGTAAGTTTGATCATGTGAATAATGTATCACTTTTAAACAGATAAGTTATGTTTAAATAAGTAATGCAAGTATAAAAGATAGAAGATGGTGATAAGTAAAATAATATGATAATGAATTTAATCATAGTAATTGATAAATATGTAAGTATAATTAACGAGAGAATGTGGTTACAACTGCGATATAGCCAAATATATGATAGATGGTTATTTAGAAAACAAATTTTAATAGTTTTACATTTTTATATAAAACTGAAAAATTGTACTAGTAAACATGTTTTATACTTTATGTTCACCAATCCTCTACCTTTTAAAACAATTGGAGAAAATTTTCAATTAGTAAATGAGTCAACCCTCAAATTTTAATCGATTTTGATTATTGATGTCAAAAAAAATTTCAATATTCCGGTTATTGTACGATTATTAGTTTTTAATTTCGGTCGGCAACCAATAATTGACACACACTCACATTGGCGGAGCTACATCGGGACCAGTGTGGGCAGCTACCCCCTTCTCCCACCCCAACCTTATATGTAGTCATAGTAATTATGTGTGTGTGCGTGTGTGTGTGTGTGTGTGTATATATATATATATATATATATATATATATATATCATGTTTAGGTATAAGTATAAACTACATATAAAAATAGATGAAAGATGAGTTGGTCAAGTTTGTAAGGCATGCGCGTGCAATTTATAAAAGGTATTGCATACTAGTTTTTCTTACATTTATTATGTATTTTATTTTTATTTTTTGTCAGAACATGAGGTGTCCTGAGCATGCTGTCGTCCTATAACTGTATGAGGCATATTTAAGTTAATACCATACTCGTACTAATTCTCATTCGCACCGGACCGACACAATTAAGGGGCAAAGTGCTAGCCGTACTGATTTTTTCCATACGAGAGGAGTTCGAACAATGGGCATTTTTTTACCATATCCAACAATTATCATTTTTTAAAGGGAAAATGGTCAAATATACACTTTAACTTTAAGCAAAAGTGCAATTAGGCGCTTGAAATTTTAAAAAGTGCAATTTAAACACTTGAACTTGTTTTTGGTGCGTCTAAACCCAATAGCCGGCTATTCACCTCGAATAACCAGTCAAAAATGATTCTGACAACATTTTTTATAATAATTCTGACGAAAAAATTCCGGCAACAAAAATACTTTTTAAAAAAAAAAAGACGACCTAACCAGAGAATACAACCAGCCGGTCATCTTCTCTAGTGGAGAATGTAACCAGATCTGGTCCCCTTCTCCACTAAAGAAGGCGACCAGTCCGACTACCTTCTCCACTAAAGAAGGCGACCATACTGGTCAATGTCGATACTATTATGGTAAATCGGACTTATTTGACTCATTCTGACAAGTGTTTAATTGTACTTTTTAAAGTTTAAGGGTCTAATTGCACATTTGCCTAAAGTTCAATTATTTGGCCATTTTCATTTTTTAAATATATTAATAATGAGATGTATGATTTATAATATGTTCTATATTCAAATCATTTTATCAAAGTAATTATGCTTTATATTTTGTTATGATATTTTTTTTAAGTTTTGATATAATTTATTTTTCATCCATATCCACACCTTATTTAAATTTTTAAAACTATCTTTTTTTTTTGTTTTAATATTTGCCCTACTGGAAAAGCTTTATAACTCTGCCTATATATATATATATATATATATATATATATATATATATATATATATATAGAGAGAGAGAGAGAGAGAGAGAGAGAGTTGAGTTCTCGTGCGGTTGTGCGATTAAATCTGAGACATTTATCTTTTTTAAATCAGCGTCCAGGATTACCAATTTTTTTAAAAAAAAAAAATTACGGTGACAATTTGGTAATTTTGCATCTAGGTCAAGTTTAAGGTCCATGATTTTTGTGCTTAAGGTGCGTGAGGTTTTTGCTTAAGGTGCGTGAGTTTTTTGTTTATGGTGCGTGTGTTGTGTGCTTAATGTGAGTAATTATTGAAATTTAAGGTGTGTGGTTTTTGTGCTTAAGGTGCGTGGACTATGTGCTTAAGGTGCCTGGATTTTGTGCTTAAGGTGTCTGAGTTTTGTGCTTAATGTGAGTGGTTGAAACTTAAGGTGCTGATAAGTACATATTTGTTCATATTTATACCACATGTCTATCTCATATTTTGCCTTTGTTTGCTTATGAAGTGTTACTATGTTGTTCAAAATTATCTTTATTTTGCTCATTTGATTCATTATGCACAATTCATTATCTTTGAGTAGAAATGAAGGATTTTAGATCATGTTGGATGCATTTGGAGTTAAGGGGAGCCAAGGTGAAGCTAAGGAGATGGATGCAATATTTCCAAAGAAGCCTAAGAGTGGTGTATTCAACAGTCTTGGTCACTTGGGCAAACCAAAACAAAAGAGGAGCAAAAGATCAAGACATTATAATTTTCGCTCATTTTGGACACTATTCGGTTTTTTTACCATATCTTGGCCTAGAAATGTTCAAATGAAGTGATTCCTGCGTCATTGGAAAGAATACTCAAAGGCTACAACTTTTGTGAAAACCATAAATCCAAAATCTGACTTTTTGAAGGCCAAAATACACGGCCATGTATTTTTGTTTGATTTCCAGTAGCTACTGCCCAAAACAGCAATTTTTTGCCACAACCAGTGACATGGCTGTGTCACTAGCCGTGTCACTGGTGCTCTACTACTATTTAAGTGCGATTTCAGCATTTTTCACTCGGTTTTGACCCATGGTTGAGCCCTAGTTTCTCTCCTTCACTTCCTATCATATTTTTAGGTTATATTATGCTTAGATTTGTGTTCCTAAACATATTTCAAGCTTGTAATCAAGGATTCAACACTTGGGTTACAAGATTTACCATCCATTT